ACATACACACACACACACACACACACACACACACACACACACATACACACACATACGCGCGTGCGAACACATCACCTTTAAACTCAAGAATACGACAGATCTCAGGTACATGCTAATGCCATTGTAAGCCTATACGAACGTGAGTATAATAATATTCTGGTGCATGCACATAGTTTTAAACGTACAAAAGAATATAAACTCACCCCTTCAGAACAATGGGCGGGTCGATCTAGAGGCATGCATTATTCAACCACATTTGTAATTGTAAAAATCCAACGATGACGTCAGTTTGAGACAAACTTTTCTGGGTTTTCTCCGTCTGTTTTTTTTTTTTTTTTTTTTTTCTTGCCAAGTCATGTACATCCTCGTGCCCTTGTGATAAAAACTATTCAAAACCTCTTGCTTTCACTTAGAAAATCTCAGCTGTGCGTCATGTCTGTATTGCAAAATATCATCTTGAACTTCGGAACTTGTTAACAAAAGCGAATGAATTAATGTTAATATTATGAAATATTGGAAATCTTTAAAAATGTATACATCGTCGTAGTAATGCAGCAGTTTGTGTTGCAAGTGCGCAAAACTAGTACTAAAAAGAAAAGAAAAGCCATTGCATAAAGATTTTCCTTTAGAGAACCACACTCGCACATTAACATGAGCATAATATTAATAATCAACCTCTTGATCTGCCCGCCATTGGCAAGGGTTATTTTGCACACGTTAGGCGTCACCACATGGGCGGAGACACCTGTTGAAAGTGGGGGGTTCTGTTACTTTAGTTTTAGTAAGAGTTTTACGGCACTTGCAACACAAAAAGGTCATATAAGTGCCGAAGATTAGAGGTGTTACAAAAACACAAAAAAGAAGGAGGGGATGATAGATGTTTGATAGAAGGAAAGAAGAAGCAAACCACACCAGAGCACCCGCCAACCACCCACTGCGGGATTCTGTACTGTTGCTGCCTTATACATGTATAGCGATAATAATAAAGGGTTAAAACAAAAACATCACACATTTTGAGGTTTCTAACCTTGTAACCGACGTATATTAGATCTAATTGTTTTTGGTCGTATTATTTTCGTTATTATTACACTAATATATCATTATCATTATAATACTTTGTGGTTATTATTATTATTATTATTATTATTATTATTATTATTATTATTATTATTATTATTATTATTATTATTATTATTATTATTATTATTATTATTATTATTGTGTTGTTGTTGTTGTTGTTGTTGTTGTTGTTGTTGTTGTTGTTGTTGTTGTTGTTGTTGTTGTTGTTGTCATCATTATCACTACATTTTTGACAATTATACTTTCGTTGCTGCAGTTATTGCAACTGGTATTTAGTGATTAGTGGATTTTTGCGTTGTCGTTAATGTCATTATTGTTATTTGTAAGAGTATTTAAAAATTGTTATTATTTCATCTGTTGTTGTTGTTGTCGTTGATGTTGTTGTTGTTGTTGTTGTTGTTGTTGTTGACGATGATAATGAAGTTTTGTTGAAATATGTATACACACGTACATTCACACATACACACACACACACACACACACACACACACACACACACACACACACACACACTTTATTATCCGTATATTCGAATTAAAAGTATCCCAAGAGAATAAATTAATACTGTGTCTCTCTACAAGTATATCTAGTGTCCCCAGCCGACCGACTTTTCCTCTTTTTTTAATTAACGAAGAAAAGAAACTTTACCCTAAACAACTGCAAAAAATGTAATTGAAAATGCAGTCGTAAATAAATCAGGTGTAATGAAAACGCTCATTGGCTGCACGGGTCAGGTTCAAGGGATTTGATTGGTCATCTGATTTGAGTTTAAATTGCGCATGAACTTAAAGCTAAAAACAGATAATATCATTTTACCGTATATATACTTTAAGAACCTCTAGCCGAAATTCCACACCAGGAAAAGGCTTATGCGCCTAGGCACCTGCGCATTTCTTTTTATTATGGCGAAGGCGGCATCTATACGGCATGATTGTTCGGCCACAGATTTGAGAGCAGCTTAGCTTCCCAAGTCAAAACTGAAATCGATGAAAAATAAATTACATATGTCGTGAGTGTTGCAACAGAAGCAAGAATATGAAAGTAAAGTGCATACATTGCACTCGGCAACCTGTGCATGTTTTGATCGCCTTACAAAGATAATGTGACTTTGGGTTTAATCGTATTGGCCTTTAGATCCATTGCTCGAACCGTTAATTACTTCATTGATCACGTTTCCATTTCATCTTTTCTTTATTCGTCCACTCGGTTCATTCATTCGTTCTTTCGTGAAATAAGTTCAGACTTTCCAAAAGAAAATTTAACGGCCCCCTCCTTCGAAATACATGTCAAAGTTAGCTTGCTAGAGCCAGGAAACTGTTGTCATATTCTTGGTACCCCCACCCCCACTCCCCACCACTTCGCATTATTTATTCAATTAATGGGTGTGCAAACCTTGACACGAGTAAATATAGAAAGAAGTAAAAAGGTCCGTGCCGGTTCACTTGACGGTCTATCCTGAACACGCGTTCTGTCGTCAGTCTCGCCTGATTGACGACCATCAGTTCTATCTCACGATCATCTGGGATACTGGGTTCTGTTGTAAGGCCTGAGCAGGATAAAGAAAGAAAGAAAGAAAGAAAGAAAAAAATGAATTAATAAATAAATAAACAAATTAAATGAATAAATGAAGGAGCAAACGGATGAATGATTGATTGAATGAATGAATGAATGAATGAATGAATGAATGAATGAATGAATGAATGAATGAATGAATGAATGAATGAATGAATGAGACAACTGACTTTGTGTTTTCTTCAGTTTGGTCTCCTCCTCTTTCCCCCCAGGAGCCCCAGGCTCATCATGCCCAAAGCTTTTCTGATCAGGGCGAGAACTAGGTCAGAGACCCCAGCCACGGATTCCGGTCCCCTGACGTCATCACTGACGCAATCGTGCGTGGATTCCACCTCTGGTAGGTACAAAAGACCTGTTTTAGTTACGTATTTGCATCAAATAGAGAAAAAAGGACAGTTGTGTTCTGTTTGTTCAGTTATGGCGACTCACAAACAAACAAACAAACAAACAAACAAACAAGCCCTTTTTTAAATTTTGTTCTAATATTTCCTTCACATATGTGTTTTGATTTATGTATACCTATTGATTAAACCGATTGGTTCATTTGGTTACTTATTCAAAAAGTGCTGTTAAAAGATAGAGACGAGTTAGTATAGTAGTATACTTGCGAGGGGTATATTTTTTATCGCCATAGATTTAATATTGCCTCTGTTCATAGCTTGTTTCTTTGGCCCGATCTGTTTTATTGACATTGTTTTGAACTACATATATTGGTAGGAGTGATGAGCAAAAATCTAGTTTTGAAGATCTTATGAAAGCAGTTACAACGTCTTGTTCAAAATTCAGTTAAGGTTTATGTATGAGGCTACATAGACTCTTTATTACGTCGGGATATGTGCAACAATATAGCCATTACATCGCTGCCAACACTTTTAAGTGATATGTATAACAACAGAAGCTTCAAAAACGTCAAATGTCCCTGAAAAGGAAAGTTTTCAATCTGTGCCTTGTTCCAGAACTACGCTATGGGTGTCAAACGTGTCCAATTGCCAGAAACATAATTTTAGAAAATAAATCTTATCTTTTAAAATTAGAAATACAAGAGAAAATATGAGTGGTAGATATCCTCAAGTTGGAATATCTTTGTCTGTCAGCTGGGATGTGAGACCCCTTTCTGTCTGACCGGCAGAATCAAAGCACCTAGTCTCCTAAACGTTCTAAATATGTCGACACGGGTCGTAAAACATTTAAAGATACAATTTCAATTTATCTGCACCACCTCGAGGCGTAGAGTTCCAATTAAATTCCTATCCATCTAGAATGACAACAGCCGGGCTAATGGTAGATCTATAAATCAGATGGACTTTCCATAATATGCTATAATATATATATACATGTATATACACACAATGCGTTCTACTCCAGGGCAACACAATAATGTAGCTGAATTTTATATACAGTCTTTTTTCACTTGCGTGTGTACTTTTTGACATTATCGCTCGTTCCGTGGCTTTAAATCGTTGAACTTTGAACACAAAAAAGCACACCACAATACGTAATCCTTTATTCCTTCTTAATCTGTCAATCTCCTTTTCTTCCTTGTTAATCTGTCAATCTCCTTTTCTTCCTTCTTAATCTGTCAACCTCACTTTTGCATAAGGGAAATCGTTAACTCTCCGGATTGCTTCCTTTCAGGTTACTCCACAAACCACCCTATTCACGCAGACTCTGTCACTTCGCTGAAACCACTATCGACCGAAGAGGGGTTTTCGACAACCAGAAGCCAGTTTCTGTCTGTGCCAACAACACCAGCTTTGAATGGTTGCTCTATGTTTGTTGCCCCACCCTGCTGCCACAATCATATTGACGAAGTTCTCCCCGAGGGCGCTAGAATTTCCATTGGTAGTTCTTTTGTGAGAGGAGAAGGTGTCATTGAGGAAGCAACAAGCCACCAAAGCTCAGAGACGGACTGCCAAGCAAGGAATAACGAACGAACAACAGAAGAGGCTCCAACACGTTCGGTACACGCCACTAGCAAGTTTTCGGAGCGTCTTTCGCCCAGCACACACAAAGCTATGACGTCCCCTCCTGTGCGAGACTTTTTGTGGAGGCCCGTGTCCCTGATGGATGACGTCATTTCCCCAAAGAGTCAGACATCCCAGGTGGAGAAACCCGTCTCGCCTGTGGTTTCTTCCACGATGCCAGATTCGACAAATGATTCTGTTGTTGTTGGTTGTCCTAAAGACGATGAAGACTTTGTTGGCGCCAGGTATTCCCGAAAATATAACAACAACAACAATAACATTAACGTTCACAAGCAACATACCGACCGCGGTACAGCTTTAAAATACGGGGTCACCCACGACGCTGCCAAGGCAGAACTTTTCGACGTCAACGAAAATTCAGTGACCAAAAGTTTGCACAGTATTAGCACCTCACATCGTAGGCCAAACAGCACCAGCCCTTGTATAGATTCTCTCAGGACCAGTGTCACAGATGACGTCATACATGTCCCAGCTCGACCTTCACAGCACCCCAGAAATGTATGTTTACCTCCTCACTCACTGGCTTCCAGGCGCAGTGATCTTTCACCTGGGTTCAGGTGTGACGACAGCGGGTATCTGTCCACTCCGCACTCACCTGCTCGCAGTGTGAGCCCAAGAGGTGAGGACATGTCGGAGCAGATAGTCAATTACTCTAAACAGAAACTCCACCGCCAAGGTTCCTCCACGCCCGGGGCTGACCGCCAAAACATGCTCAGCTCATTTCCCTCTTTGAAGAGGAGATCAGCTGCCGAAAAGGCCGATTGTGATACATCTCATCCAGAGAAACTTCCTAAAACAAACATGTATCCTACTCATGTGAATAAAAACAATAAAAGCTCTTCTCCCACCAATGCCAACACCTATGTCGTGGACAAAGCAATATTCGGAGAGGAGCAATTCTCTGTGTCTAACAATGTGACGTCTCAGGAAAATGAAGAGTGTGAAGAAAGAAAATCTAAAGAATACAAGGACAGACAGATGCTTCTCGACCTAAAGCAGTCAGCCGTTCACGCCAACAACACAGTCGTGAAACAGGAACTTCTTCCCTCCAAACACGAAAATGTTTGTTGCAAAAACGGGCCATCTGGAAGAGAGGGCATGGTGAGAAACGCACGTGCAGATAAGTCTCCAGTCGTGGTGGACGCGGACAGCAGTGTCATGGAGCACTGGCAAACACTCACTCCCAAGTCAGAGGACAGGCGTGCCGGCACCAGCCCCGCTGGGAGATCCGACTGCTCTGACGAGTTGTCTAAAGTAAAGGTGGTCGGTGAAAAGAACGCGGACACTTTCTCAGAAGAGAGGATGGGAGACGGCAAAAGTCGCGAGAAGACGCCCCCATTCTTACATCGCCCCCAGCCCAACCCTCTGAAAGTTCCAGATATGTTCTCCCATTGGGCGTCGGCTACACCTCCCTCCTTCCCTCCCCACCCTGCTCTCACCGGCCACTATCTGCGCTTCCTTCAGCAGGCACAGTCGCTCCACCCCGCCCTACAGCCCGCCCTCTACTCCGCTCTCGGACACGCCTCTCTATCACCCTACTTATTGGACCCCTCATTCTCCATGAAAAGACCCTTCCTCCCAAACTCCCCTTTCCTCCTCCCCCCGTCTGCTCTCTATCTGCCTCCTCCAATACGTTCCCACAATCCTGTCTGTTTTCCAACTCTCCCAGTCCAACCAGAGACAAAACCTGACTCAGATATTGCGACCACCAGACATTTAGACCGTCGGCCGGAGCTTGCAATTCCCAACCCCTCCTTTCATCGATCGCCATTTCCTTTCCACAAAGCTTCATCGCTCTCCCCGTCATCCTCGTCCTCCCCCTTGACCTCCCCAAACAGCATCACCAGCAGCGACAGCAGCATCAGCGGCAACAGCAGTATTCTCACCAAGCATCCTAGCGCCTCACCAAACTATCCCATCATTTCCGCTCCCACAAACGCAACGAAAACTGCCATCCCCACCAACAGCAACAACGTCAGCCTGAGCATCAACAACCTCTTTCCGAGACACCATTCTCAGTCTCAAGGGTCAACCAAACGCCGGGACAAAGAGGGTTCTATTCTCGACCCGGTACGCTTCAACTGTGACTCTTGTAACAAAAGCTACTCCACGCTTAGCGGTCTCAGCAAACACAAGCAGTTTCATTGCAGCACTCACGTGAAGAAAGAATTCACCTGCAAACATTGCGACAAGACTTACGTGAGCCTCGGCGCACTCAAGATGCACATACGTACTCACACTCTTCCTTGCAAGTGTCACGTCTGCGGAAAGGCATTCTCTCGACCTTGGCTTCTCCAGGGTCACATCCGGACACACACTGGGGAGAAGCCCTTCCGGTGCACTCACTGTGGTCGTGCGTTCGCTGATCGCTCCAACCTGCGCGCGCATCTGCAGACCCACGCGGAGGTGAAGCGCTACAGCTGTGCGCGATGTAGCAAGACTTTCTCTCGCATGTCACTGCTCACGAAACATGAAGACAGCTGCTCCGCCTCCTCCTTATAGACTAATGTATAGCTGGGCAGTGTGTGATCTTCTCCTCCAGAAAGATTTAATTAACAGTTTTTCTTCATCTGCCATTTCGAAAGCTGGCCCGTTTCTACCTAACTTTGTAAACAGAAACGTCATCGGCCTACACGCCAGTCGACTAGTGACCACCACATGCTCTATGTCCTGACGTAATAATTACATGTACAAAATGTACTTGTAACTCTATACTTGTTAAGTCCTAAAGTCGAGTCCTCAAAAAGAGACTAGATCTATGCCATCACAAAAGAGATACTAAGTAAAGGCGAAATACCTTCGTTCAAAGAACCGATTGACACATCGGCTGTGAGAACAGGCAAAGGATTTGGCACACTTGATATGTCGTTGTCAGCTTCCACCCTGTGGTATGTCTGGGTAGTAATGACTCCGCATAATCACTACTACTTCCCATGCCGAATCAAAGACGTACAGATTTATGTTTGATATATTCGTAGTTGGTAACGACAAAAGAAGTTGTGCTGGTTTGACGCATGACATAAGAAAGTAATACAACAATATTTAATGTTTTAACTTCCCCGAGGCTACTGTCAGGCTAAAAGCAGCTAGAAGATTATCGGTAAACAAAAGAAAAAAATGTAGAGCTCAGAAAATCACCTTACTGACGTTTGCTCTAGTCCGTGGTTAGCACTAGCACCATAGATTAGTTGTTGTTGTTGCTGTTGTTGTTGCTGTTGTTGCTGTTGTTGTTGCTGTTGTTGTTGTTGTTGCTGTTGTTGTTGTTGTTGTTGTTGCTGCTGTTCTTGTTGTTATTGTTGTTCATTTAGGTATAGAAGTGGTTTCCTGTGCTCTACATGTTTCTTCCTGTGACGATGATCCAGTAGCGTGTGACATGACTGCACATTTACAGTGAAAATCAGAAGGAAAACTTTGTCAAATCTTCTGCTCTATCAGCATTTTTAAGGTGTGGGTGAGCCTTAAGGATGGCAAATTTTGTGATGCGCCAATATCTTTGGTTTTTAGGTAAGGCCATGGTGAAACATACAATCTCTTTGCTCCATGTGATGGTATATTACATACCATGACTTGATACATGCTTTATGACGCAACGGCGGCTATGTTTATAAAAGGTCAGTAGATCTAGAAAGCTTTGATGGAAACATACATTTGACCGGGGAAGAGGGGAAGGTGTGGTTTAGGTTAAAGTTTCTTTCCTCCTTCAGCCTTAATCAGCGCAAGCTGGCATTAAGATGAAAAGAGGGTCTGTGTATTAAATTTCTTACATATAATGATCGTATCAAACGTCCCAGCGAATAGATTGCAAAGAGACGAAAGTCTAAACCTGATGTTGGAAGTTTTGTTTTTTGTTTTACATTGAAGAATATTTTTCACTTCATGAGGTCAGAACGGCATAAACAGCAAGGAAAGAACCTCCCCACGACTCTCGACTCTGGACATTCCTGAGAAGGTCACACCTGTTGTTCCCTCACTACTTCACGTGTCGACCCCCGCATGTTTGTGCGAGCACCATACACCATCCAGACTCACCAGATTTCACTCTATTGATCTCAACACGGGCCACTTAAAAGAAGGCAAAACGTTCTGTTGCGCTCTCGCTTCCCTCCCGCCCCCACCCCTTTCCACCCCC